CCGCAAAACAGGGTTCGGTAGAAGGGGTGCCACACGTACACAGACCAGAAGACGTACCAGAAGTCTGGCCTTTGCCTCCCAAACAGAGTGGAGCAGGAGAAAAGGCCTGCCATTTAAGGAGGGCAGACCGGAGCTGTCGTTCTGTAACATGTATAAAGGTAAAGGTTCCCTTGCTCGAAAGCCAGTCGAATCTGACTCTAGGGTTGCGGTGCTCATCTCCGTTTCAAAGCCGAAGAGCCAGCGCTGTCCGAAGACGTTTCCGTGGTCATGTGGCCGGCATGACTAAACACCAAGGCGCACGGAACGCTGTTACCTTCCCACTGAAGTGGTACCTATTTATCTACTTGCAGTTTCTTGCTTTCGAACTGCTAGGTGGGCAGGAGCTGGAACTAGAGACGGGAGCTCACTCCGTCATGCGGCAACCCGGGTCTCGAACTGCTGAACTACTGACCGTCCACAGCCTGCAGTTCAGCGTTTTAACCATTTGAGCCACCACAGCTCCTTTGTAACATGTGTGCCCATCCATATATACACGTGCGCCCTGGTTTCAGACCATATCCTCTTGTGGAGGAGCTGAGGCTCAGTTAGAGCCAGAGTTGTCAGCTCCGAGTTGGGAGATATCTGGAGATTTTGGGGGTGGAGCCTGAGGAGGATGGGGTTTGGGTGCCATACAGTCCACCTTCCAAAGAAGAAGAGGAGATTGGTTTTATACCCCGCCCTTTACTATCCGAAGGAATCTCAGAGCGACTTAAAATCTCCTTTCCCTTCCCCTCCCCACAACAGACACCATGTGAGGCAGGTGGGGCTGAGAGAGCTCTTTCGAGAACTGCTCTTAAGAGAACAGCTCTGAAAGAACTTGGGACTGACCCAAGGTCACACCAGCAGCTGCATGCGGAGGAGTGGGGAATCAAACCCGGTTCTCCCAGATTACTTTGGAGGACAATTTGGAGGACAATGCCCCTAACCACTACACCAAAGCAGTCACTTTTTCCAGGTGAACTGATCTGAGTCACCTGGGGTTCAGTTCTAATAGTGGGAGATCTCCAGCCACCACCTGGAGGTTGGCAACCCCAATTAGAGTTGCATGCAGAAGGCCCCGTGTTCCATCTCTGAGCATCTCCTGTTTAAAGGTAGCATGGCTGGGGGGGGGACGACACCCTCTGACAGACTTTGGAGGACAATTGTCATGTGGGGATCTTTGAGCCACTCATAGTAGGGCTGTTGTGATCAGCGGTTGGACTCAGCTTCACGTGTTGCATGGTAGAGTGCCGGCTTCTTATGCAGACACTCCAAGGGAACATCTCTTGGCAAACAATTGATTGCATTTTTCGTCTTTCCCCTCTAGCTCACAACAGCCCTCTGAGGTAGGTTAGCCTGAGAGAACGTGACTGGCTGAAGGTCATGCAGCAAGCTTCAGGGTTGACCAGGATTTTAACCTGTATGTTTCCCCGGATATAGCCCAACATTCCACCTAGTACGCCCACACCAGTTCTCTCGTGTAGCAAGGGTTAGGCTTAGGCATGACTTTTCTCTGCTGGGAAGCTCTTGCCAGTCTAGAGTAGATCATACTTAGCTAAGCGGTCTGACAGGGCAAAAGACACCTTCAGATATTCACAGGACACAGGGAGGGGCCATGGCTCAGTGGAAGAGCATCTGCTTGGCAAGCAGAAGGTCCCAGGTTCAATCCCTGGCATCTCCAGTTGAAAAGTGCAGGTGCAGGTAGTAAAGGTTCCCTTGCTCAAAAGCCAGTCGAATCCAACTCTAGGGTTGCGGTGCTCATCTCTGTTTCAAAGCCGAAGAGCCAGCGCTGTCCAAAGACGTTTCTGTGGTCATGTGGCTGTGCGTAGTAGGTGATGTGAATAACCCCCTTTGAGACCCTGGAGAGCCACTGCCAGTCAGAGTAGACAATGCCGACCTTGATGGACCAGTGGTCTGATTCAGTATAGGGCAGCTTCATGTGTATATTACAGGCCACAATCCTGCATGCCCTTTCTCCTGTTACAATCAGGTGCTCCCTTGTTTCCCACATGATTGTGCCAGATTCATGTTTAAACACAAGAATCTGCTGGCGTCAGGGCTAATCTGACTCTGCACATTCCAAATTTCAATTGGGCCTTTAGTAGCACGACCCGCCCCCTCCCTCTGGCAGAATCCAGCAGTGGTGGTGAAAAGTGCCATCAAATCGCAGCCGGTTTATGACAACCCTGTAGGATTTTCAAGGCAAGAGGCGCTCAGGGGTGGTTTGCCATTGCCTGTCTCTGCGTTGCAACCCTGGGCTTCCTTGGAGGTCTCCCATCCAAATACTAACCAGGACCGACCCTGCTTAGCTTCAGAGATCGAGCTAGCCTGAACTATCCATTTATTCACCTGGCATTGACCGGTGTGGTTGGATTGAAGAATTCGACTGTCACCCGTGCTGCATACCACGAAACAGCCGTCATTGTGCACAGACCTGGGAACACAAAGGAAAACCCAAAGTATCTCGCATTTTTCCCGCTAGAGAACACAGTTGAGCTTTAAAAAGCCGAGACTACCAACCTCTCAACTGGCCCCTGAAGCCGTGTCTTTTGCTGGGCCCATAACCTATTGAGGTTAACTGGTGTGCTTAGTCCAGTCACCGTTAAGTTAGCAGAGTGCTTAAATAAAGCTACGAACGCAGGAGTGTCACTTTACCAGGTTACTCAGCTTAAAAAGCTACACAGGCCCCGGTCACACGGGAGGTTTTGCCCCGCGGAACGGACGGATTGATGGCGGATTAAACTGGCGCGATCAGATGCCAACATCTGGCAAGCGTCACACACCCGCCCCCAACCTGTCCCTTCCGGCCGAAGATGTGGAGTTAAAAAAACCCCTGCAAAACACTACTACCTACAGGAAAACCTGCAGCATGGGTGGCCATGTGAGCGCTGACGCGCCCGTCTCCCGCAGCATGCGAGGCCCCCTGCCGAACTGCGCATGAGCACACATGCGCAGCTGACTCGCCTTGCTCTCCTGTCCATGGCTTCCCCCTTGGCATCTGATCACGCTGGGGAGTATATGCGTGGCGGCTCAGGGGATCTGTCTGATTCCGCTGCCGCACTTCTCTTTTGCTGTGGCTCTAAAAAGCCGCACTTCTGCCCCGGCTTTTCCTGCGGTGTGACCGGGGTCTCTGTTCAGCTGATGCTAACCAAACAGATCTCTTGGAACAGCCTGTCACTCTCTGGCTCTGTGAAGAATCGGCGGCGGATCAGATAGATCCCCTGAACCGCCACGCAGTTGCTCCCCGGCACGATCAGATGCCGGGGGGAAGCCACTGCAGGGAGAGCGAGGCAGCCGAACTGCGCATGTGTGCGCAGTTCGGCCGGGAGCCTCGATTGCTCCTGCAGACGGGCGCGCCGGCGATATCATGGCCGCACTTGCTGCGCTGTTCCAGGTTTGTGCTATCTTTTACTTGGGGGGTTTTGCAGCGGGTTTTAGGCCAGAAGGGACGGATCGGGGATGGGTGCACGCTGATTCCCAGATGTTGCAGTGTGCTCGCGCCCGTTTGCTGCGCCCCCGATCCCTCCCTCTTCCGGCCCAAAACCTCCCGTGTGACCGGGGCCAAAGAGGACAGTGGCAGAAGAGTAGATACAGGAAGAAAGGTCAGTGTGCCTATCTAGCTATCCAGTCTCTCTTGCCACTCAGTCTGGAGGTCCGAGACAAGGGACATCGCATCTGGAACTTCCAACAGCTTTAACAACTGCCTGCTCCTTATAACTGAAGCAGGCGGGGCCCTGAAGAGATGTGGTGGCTCAGTGATAGTTCACCTGCTCCACATCCAAAAGGTCCCAGGTTCAATCCCCTGCAGCTCCCAGTTAACAGAATCAGGTGATGCAAAATGCTGCTATTTGTCTCTCTGACATCCTTTAATCCAGCCAAATGCTGGGAGGTCAGGGGTAATCCCAGGAAGACTCCAGGCCCAGCCTTGAGCTTGGTACCCCTACTGCAGCATGCAAAGCAGATGCTTTACAGGGAGCCACAGCCTCCCCACGCCATGTGGCCACATGCTAACCGGGGCCAAGCAGGCTGCTCTTTGCGACGGAGACTGCCCTCGTAAGGATTGACAGCACCGTCTCAAAGTATTTAATGAGCTTCTCCTAGGGTTGCCAGCTGCAGTGCTCCCTCTGAGCCGAGTCGGTGTGAGCTCGTTCGCAGTTTGTTAGCCTCCGGCTCACACATTTTCGTCTTCGCTCAGGAAGGAGGGCTCCAGAGCTGACCAATTGAGGCAGCAGCCAAATCGCTGGCTCACCACTTTAATGCCAGGAGCTCACAGAGTAGAATTTTTGCTCACAAGACTCCACAGCTTAGAAGGAGCATTGGCCAGCTGTAGGTTGGGAAATCCCTGGTGAGGGGGGGGGGGTGAAGCCTGGGGAGGATGGGGTGGTTTGGGGAGGGGAGGGACCTCAGCGAGGCACAATGCCACACAGTCCAACTCCCAAACCAGGCGTTTTCTCCGAGGGAACTAATCTCTATCGTCTAGAGATCAGTTGCAAAACCCCAGGAGATCTCCAGCCACCATCTGGAGGTTGGTAACCCTACCTACCTAGCCTTGGGGATCCAATCCACTCTCTTGCAAAGTCAGCCAGCGTGACTGGTAGCGTAGAGTGCAGCGAGGGCAGGGGACCTTTGGCAAGATGTCCTCATTGGGCCGCTCGCTCTGAATGGGCCCTTTCCCCTCTGATTATGGGCTTCCCAGGAGCATCTGACTGGTCACATTTGCAAAGTGAATGCAGGGCATGACAGCCCCAGGACTGCACCCAGCAGGTTGATTTTACGGTTCCGGCAATCACTTGTGCCTACACGCATACCTGCTAAAAGCTGCGTAGCACACACATCTGCAAAGCTCAATCATCCCCCCCCCCCGGCTTTCTGAAATGGTACAATCCACAGAAGACTGTACCACGCAACTCTTCCCTATGGAATTGCTCTCATAGATGGAGATGCTGTGTATATGAATTGGTTTGCAAGCTGTTCTAAGGCAGTGCAGTCCTCGGCAGAATGACACCCTTCTAAACTCACTGGAATCAGGGGCCAAATTACATGCTGTGATTTGTGATGCATAGTGTTGTGAGTTCCCCCAACTGGAATGTGACTGAGAGTCAGATGTCAGGTTTGAGGGAACACATTTCCAAAGGTGTTGCAAGGCCTCGATTCGGATCGGGACTGTGGTGTCGCGAGGCTCCTCCTCTCCAGCCCTCAACTATTTGCTTGCCTGTGTTGCTCTGATAGAACTTTGGCTAATGCTTTGTGATTTAAAGATTGGTTCCAGATCAAGACTGACTTGGACTGCAGTGCTGAATGCTGAGGTTTAACAGCACTTCTGAAGCTGAATTCCCGAAGCTGACTTTGTAGAAGAAGATGTTGTTTTGAAATGAGATGCAACCTAGGCTCTTGTCAGTTTCAACTCGGGTCAGTTCAGCCAGAACGTCTAGCCCTTTAAAAAATATTTCTGTATATATCTGTAATTGATCTTGTCAATTTGATTTCTGTCATTGTTTGATTGTATTCTACATTTATGTGAAAGCCTTTATGGGTATTTGTCTTTTTGGACTTTTTTTTTTTTGCTGTCAAGTTGCAGCAGACTTAATGGCGTCTCCATGGATGTCGTAAGTCAGTCTGTGCTCAGTGACAGCACAGATTCCTCAGATGAAGAGCTGCCTGCAGTCAGCCCTCAGCCAGTAATTGAACAACTGGCTCTGAGCCAGGAGGAGAGTCACAAGAGGTCAGGTTACCAGCTGATCAGAAGTCACAGCCTAAGCTGAAACCGAGCCAATGACTTGTAGCTCTGAAGCAGTAAACAAAGCTTCAGAAGCCACTTCCAGCTTACCTAGCTCACCCACACCCCTGCATCGCCAACACTGTCAGAGGTGCACAAAGTTGCAGGAAAGGCCCGTCATGAGTAGTTTCAGGATGACTGCCAAGGAATTGGTGGGGAGTGTAGCTCATTAAGACTTGGCTATAAAATCAGCCGGGAGAAGCAGCAGTTTTGTGGCTGCAACAAGTACACATTACTACTAAACCGCAGACCTTGCGGTAACCAGGCCATTGGAACCTTAACCCTTGGACTGGACCTGACTATTGGCTTTTCTGGAACCCCTGACCTTGGACTGGACTTGCTGCTTGGTTCCCTTGACCCTAGACTGGACTTGGCAAACCTGCTCTCTTTTGGACTGGACCCTGGTTACTCTTTGCAAACCTTCCCTGTTACCTGCCCTAAATGCTGAACCACAGCCCTTGTCTCCTGGGAGGGCTGCACCAGTACAGTGTGCTTTTCAAGACAGGAGACATTCAGAGGTGGTTTGCCATTGCCTGCCTCTGTGTTGTGATCCTGGACTTCCTTGGCAGTCTCCCATCCAAGAACTACCTATGAGGCTGTACAGTCTGCCCTTTGAAGCTGCTATTTCCTCTGGGGAACTGAAGCTGCACATGGGGGGGAGCCATGCCATGGCTCAGTGGCACAGCATCTGCTTGGCATGCAGAAGGTCCCAGGTTCTATCCCCAACATCTCCAGTTAAAAAAAAAAAAAGAACTAGGCAGTCAGTGATGTGAAAGGCCCCTGCCTGAGACCCTGGAGAGCCGCTGCCAGTCTGAGTAGACACTACTGACCTTGATGGACCAAGGGTCTGATTCAGTACAAGGCAGTTCCATGTGTTCAGTTTCAGGCTACATCTTGAAACTGATGAATCTATTTGTTGGTGATTGTTGTCCTTTATGAATAACAAGCTCAACCAGGGGTCATTTTGTAGAAAAAGAGGTGCAGGAGCTCATTAGCACCACTCATTAGCATAACGTATTTGCATATGCCACACCCCCTGACCTCACTGGAAGTGTGTCAGAAGGTAACACCCACTGCCACTTATCTGGCTGCTTCTTGCTTCTTGTGGCCCAGGGCTGCTGGGAGCAGGGGGTGGGGCTTGTCGCATGCGCCCGCCCCCTGGGCTCTTTACTGCCGGAGCTCCGCTCCTGTGCGCTCCTGCAGGAAATGACCCCTGCGCTCAACTAACAGCTTTTGTTGGAGGGAGGGCACCTTGAGAACTGTGGGTTTTTTTATTCTGCTGCAAGTCTAGTCATTGCTCCTTTTCCATTTCTTTAAAGACCATTATTTTGTAATAATGCTGTAATGATAACGTTGGACTATACAACGTCAGCGTTGCTCACAGGGCACGGAATTAAAGTGGAGGCCTTCATGTGCAAATTCTGCAGGACTTTTTTTTTTTGGGGGGGGAAGCATAATTAAGGTAATAAGTGCCTTTACCTGTTCTCCTAAACTGAAGTGGTTTTTTTTTTAAAGAATATCTTTGTTCTTGGAAAAGAAAAATCTGTGTGTTCCAAGAGACATCTATATCAGGTGGAGGCAGGGGGTGGTAACCTTCTATTAACTTTTGTTCCTGTCTTTCGACAGAAGGGCAGTGGCATTCCAGTACACCATAAAAAAGAAGGAAAAAATATATAAAACTAACTCCTTCCCTGACAAATATTTTAAAATTTTGCCACACCATGAGCTATTTTTGTTCTCCTTCTTCTTCTTTTTTTTAATTGCATTGTTGCATTATTTCACAATTGGTCAAGAGAAAGAGAACTAATCACTATTAAATACATAAGCAGGGGGAAAAACACCCTAATTTCCCCTTTCTCTATCCCTCTCTCTTTCCCGGGATCTCCTTCGACAGATAAGCTGGCCAGACAGCGGACTCTAAGGATGCTTTTGGTTGGTCAGACAGCTGCTAATTTTAATTGGGGGGAGCATCCCATGGCGAAGGCTTATTTCAACTGACCATCCATTCGCACCTAACTTGCCCTTACTTCAAGTTAGCTTTTTAAATGGAAACTTTGAGCCTCGACGTTTTATGAACATGAGCTTAATTTTCAACCAACCAATTAGGACAAAATCACCGTTATTTTTAGACATAAAGCAAACTGGGGAGGGTGGGGGGGAGATAGAAATTCAAAGTAAAATTTTAGGTGTTCCAGATATTGGGTACAGACAAGAGAACATTCATGTTTGAGGCAATATTTTAAAAAGATTTATAATTCAGGTTTAAATACTTCAAATTGCTGAATTATGACTGGATTGCACCCTTCCCTGCACTATAACATTCAGATCCACAAGACAGTTTGTCTCGATTTTGCAATTAACAGAATTTTCAGGCATTAGAAGAGGAGGAGGAGAAGAGATTGGATTTAAACCCCGCCTTTCACTTGGAGTCTCAGAGCAGTTTACAAACTCCTTTCCTTTCCCCTCCCCACAATCAAACACCCTGTGAGGTAGGTGGGGCTGAGAGAGCTCTTTCCAGAACTGTCCTTGAGAGAACAGCTCTGACAGAACTATAGCTTGCCCAAGGTCATCCAGCAACTGCAAGTGGAGGAGTCGGGACTGAAACCCGGTTCTCCCAGACTAGAGTCCACGCACTTAACCAATACACCAAACTAGGTTGGTAGAAGGCTGAAAAGCCAACATGCCTCGACTATACAGGCAAACTCACACCTGTCTAATTGTTTTTTTTCCATCCTGCCTCTGCAGAGCTTGGGACAACACACACCTTTCCTTCTCCATTTTATAACAACAGCCTTGCAGGTTGGATAGGCTCAGGGAGTGTGGGCCCGAAGCCATCCACTTCACAGGGATTGGAATCTGGGTTTCCCTAGACTTTAATTCGGCAGTCTAGGGGCCACAACATGCAAACTGTAAGACAGTGCAGGGAATTCATGGTTTACCTGCGAGCACGAAAAAGACTCCTCCCAAGACGGCAATCCAGCTTTTGGTGACGGGGTTCTCATCCACCACTTTGGTACACTTCATCCCGATCACACCGACAATGAGCCCCACAAAGCCCATCAGAATGGACACCACCATCAGCGCTCGGGAGGTCTGGAGGTGCACTGCAAGGTAGAAGAAACAACCCCGAAACCCCATTTTTGTAACTTCAGGGAGAGAGAGGCAAACATGATTGCCCAGCTAAGTCTCATTCTGCAAGACCAAACGATGTGCCACGTTGGAGTTCTGCTGCTGGAAGGCGCAGCCAACTGATGGTGACCTTCTAGGGTTTTCAAGGCAAGAGAGGTTCAGAGGCGGTTGGCCATTGCCAGCCTCCGCATAGAGACCCTGGACTTTTTGGGTAGTGTCCCATCCAAGTACTAACCGGGGCCAACCCAGCTTAGCTTCCGAGGTCGGATGCGATCCGGTAGGGGCCATCCAGGTCAGGGGAATACAGAGAAGGGGGATATACAGACCAGGGGAAGGGGAGTCCCCCCCATACAGTTTCCCTGATCAAAATTGCTCTCCCTGTGCATTTAGGCCCTGAAGGTGAATTGGGGTGTCGATGTCGGTGCAGGAACCTGTCTTGTTTCCCCTGCTGAGCTACAAACCACCTAGAGATGGGTCGCTCTGGTTAAACTAACCCACCCATGACCAGCACCGTGGCCCTGCTCTAGATATGGCCTTTCCCTTTTCCCCTTGCAGTTGCCGTGTAGCGATAAAAAAGCGGATCAGCATTTCCAGTCCCAGAACTCCGACAGCACCAGTTTGCTTCTCCTCCCCCACTTGGTTCAGTTAATTTCAACTTGCAACGTGTGCGCGTGCACACACACACACACGCACACTCTCTCTCTCTCCCTTGCCACATAAGGAGCAGTGTTTTAATCAGGTTGTTTTTTTAAAAAAAGCATTGCTTGATGTTACCGATGAATGAAGCCAACTTTATAAGCCCCTTGTTACATGGGGTTTTTTTAAATTTGGCAGGGCTGCTGCGACTTTAAGACGGGTTGGCAGACAAGCCCCCCCCCCAGATCATCACTTTATTTCTCTTAATTGCACTTAATGAAGGCGGGGAGAAGAGAGGAAGAAAAAGTGGCCGCAAGCAGTGCTCCCTCTAAGCTGCGGAGCCTTGTGAGCAAAAGTTCCGCTTTGTGAGCGACTTAACTGGCCTTAAAGTTGTGAGCGAGCGATTCGGCTACTGCATACATTCGTCTGCTCTGGAGCCATCCTTCCTGAGCGAAGGTGAAAATGTGTGAGCCGGAGGCTAAAAAACTGTGAGCTAGCTCACGCTAACTCAGCTTTGAGGGAACACTGGTCGCAAGAGCTATCTGAAGGTCATGCAAGAGGCACAGACCAATGTAGGGGCTCAAGGGACGGTCTAAAAAGTGGTGGTGGAAAGTACTGCTAAGTTGCAGCTGACTTATGGCGACCTGGTGGGGTTTGTGAGGCAAGAGACGTTCAGAGGCGGTTTGCCACTGCCTGCCTCTGTGTCACGACCCTGGTATTCCTTGGCGGGCTCCCATCCAGATACTAGTCAGAGTGTACTAGTATAACAGCCTCCTGCCTTGACACGCAACGAAGTTTATTATGATGGGTAGTTTGCTTTTCCCAACTCCGGTGGCTCAACTGGTGCTCTCTGGCGGCTCAGAAGCACCTGTAACCAGGGGTTCCAACTCTGGCTTGGAAAATTCAGGGGTGCAGCCTGGAGACGGCAGGGTTTGGGGAAGGGAGGAACCTCAGTGGAGTATAACACCGCAGGACCCATCTTCCAAAGCAGCCATTTCCTCTGGAGGAACTGATGGTTGTAACCTGGAGGCCAGCTGCAATTCCAGGAGACCTCCAGCCACCACCTGGAGACTGGCAACCCTGCCTGCCTCTTCTGGGCTTGGGCCACTGCTGGCAGAGAAGACTCTGGGGTCTCATCTTGGACTTTTGCCCAGACACTCAGGATTACGGAAACCGCCCAACTGACCAGGCAAAAACAATCCGGGCTGGATGCCGTTCAACCTGTGAAACTTCTGCTGGCGAGGAGACCCAGTAACAGCTCAGGATGCTGTTAAAGGGCGCTGGAGAACCGGCTGCTTAGCAAGTTGGCAGGTCCTCAGGTAAGAGACGGGGGAAAGCAAAAGACGTCGTTCCCCCCTCCCGCCACTGATAAGGTAGGGGGTGCAGTCGTCCCCCCCCCCCGCCACTGATAAGGTAGGGGTTGCCCGATCCAGGTTGGAAAACTCCTGGAGATTTGTGGATGGAGCCTGGGGAGGCCAGGGACCTCAGTTGGAGGCAATGCCATAGAGTCCACCCTCCAAAGCATCCCCCCCCCCGAATTGCTCTCTGTAGCCTGGAGATGAGCTGTAATTCCAGGGGATCCCCAGGCCCCACCTGGAGGCTGGCAACCCAGGATCCCAGCCCCTTTCCCTTACTGGTTTGCAAATTGCAGCCAACCCCCCCCCTCCCCGGCTACTTCCGCGCTGCAAATCCTCCCTCTCCGGGCTCCCCGACGGCGGATCGGGGCATCCCGTGGCTTCCCCCCCCGTCTCCCTCCCCGCGGCGGGACGCACCGTCGAGCGAGAGGAGGGACTCGTGGAGCTTGCACTGGACCTGGCCGGTGCTCTGCGAGGCGCAGGTCATCCAGAGGCCCTCGTAGAGCCCGACGGCCGTGATGATGGCGTCCCCGGCGTACGAGCTCTGCTTCCACTGCGGCAGGGCCGAGGCGCAGATGGTGGCCACCCAGCCGGCCAGCGCCAGGAAGTAGCCGACCAGCTGCAGCCCCGCGCTGGCCATGGAGACCCTCCGACGGGCGCCCGGGCGAGAGGCAGCAGCGGGTTGGCCTCTTCGACGGGGCGAGCTGCCGCAGGAGCTGCAGCAGGGGGGGGCTGGGGGGGGTAAGAAGGCCCTGCTCCTTGCGGCGAGGATTGCTGCCAAGCCAAATGAGTTGGTTGACTGGCGTCTGTTTTCTTGAACTGGGCCCAGAGCGGCTGTTTGGGGGCCCTGTCAGGTACGGGTGCCAGCTCCAGGTTGGGAAATTCCTGGAGATATGAGGGCGGGGCCCGGGGAGGACACTGGGACCTCAGTTGGGGAGGATGCCAAAGAGTCCACCTTCGAGGAACGGACCTCTGTAGCTGGGAGATGAGCTGTGGTTCCGGGGGATCCCCAGGCCCCACCTGGAGGCTGGCATCACTACCTTCAGCTCAGGAGAAAAAAGGGGGCAACACAAGTGTAGACCATGGTGACCTGGTTTGCTACGGTTGGCTAACCTCCAGGTGTGTGTGTGTGTGTGGGGGGGGGCTGGAGATCTTCTATAACAGTGGTGGCGAACCTATGGCACAGGGGCCAGGGGTGGCCCTCCGCTAAGAGTGTGCCATCGCCCCAGCCAGGCCCAGACCGTCATTAAAGTGTCAAATTCTCTGCCAAATAATTTTAAGTAAATGAAAGCATTTGGGATTGCTTTCCTTACTTTGTTTGGATCATCTTAAGGTAATGTACAAGTTGTTTTTTCTAAAGTAAAACCTGTCTTCAGGTTAAATGGCCGTGTTGGCACTTTGCGATCAATAAGTGGGTTCTGGGTCACAGTTTGGGCACCCGGTCTCTAAAAGGTTCGCCATCACTGTTCTAGAATTACAACGGATTCCCGGCCTACATCAATCACTTTCTGTTAATTTATTTAAAACATTAAACCATAGTGTAGTGATTAAGTGCGTGGACTGAGAGAACCGGATTTGATTCCCCACTCCTCCACTTGCACCTGCTGGATGACCTTGGGCAAGCCATAGTTCTGGCAGAGCTGTTCTTGAAAAAGAGCAGCTTCTGTCAGAGCTCTCTCAGCCCCACCTGTTGTGGGGAGGGGAGGGGAAGGGAAAGGAGGAAATGGCCACTTTGGAAGGTGGACTGCAGGGCATGGTATCCTGCCAAGGTCCCTCCCCTCCCTAAACCCCTCTTCCCGAAACTGCACTGTCAAATCTGCAGGTATTTCCACACCTGGCTTTGGCACCCCCCATTTCAAGTTCATTGGGTGAACTTGAGCCAATCACCCTCGCTCATTCAACCTTACAGGGCTGTTGTGAGGGGTCTAGGGATGCTGGCTGGAGTTTCTTAAAATAGTACACCCCAAAATTCTGGTAGATACAGTAGTGGGTTTTCCCCCTCCCGAATGAAGACACGTCTCCCCAGCAACCAAATGCTTGATTTTAGAGTGAGGATTATGAAACTCCAAAGAAGCTCATTCCTTGCGTTTCTCGATTTCCAGGCAGGACAGTGGTTCATGCAGAGATGCAATGGGTAAACTCCTTTCAGGGGAACTAATTCTGCACCTTCTACAAATCGGGAAGAACCCACTCCTTCAGTCCTCATGCAGAGGCAGAGCAGGCTTTGCCATCTCACAAACCTCTGACTGAATAGCAATATTAAGGGCTGAGCAGTAAAGCATGCAGAGATACAGGAGTCAGCCTCCTGTTTACATGGGTGGGTCTTGCAGCCTAGGCCCCCAATTGCAGAATTAGTTAAATGCAACTAGCTATTCCCGTGGCACCTTATTCACAACTTAACTTGGAAACTTTGCATGCTGTTCTAGAATCTTATATGCAACTTTTTGGAAACTTCCAACAATACTCTCTGAACAAGACCTAATAATGAAGACTATGGAAAGTGCAGAAATGGACAAACTCACTTTGATCTTAAAAGGGCAAATGGAAGGAGACTTTGTTGGACTACGGACTCCTTTTTACGACTGGATGAGAAAGAAATATAAAGATATATGACGTAGCCTTTATGAACTTCTAAAAATTTTCACAGTCTCTCTCTTTGTAGTGTGAAATGATTATGTGGAGAAGAGTTACATGCAGAATACTTGTTATTTTGTTTCTTTCTTCCCTTGCCCTTGTGTACCCTGAAAACCTAATAAATAGTACTATTATATATTTAAAAAGGAAACTTTGTATGCTGTTTTTGGTCCTACCAAAAGATCCCCCCCTGACCTTTTGCACTGCGTCTTGCACCCGACCGAATGTGCATTGGATTGGGCTGCAGGTGGGTTTTTCGGGTGCACCGCAGACGATCCAGGAGCATTTAGGTCTGCCGAATTGCGGCCTGATCCCGAGGCTTCCGACGGAGGAGACGCCATCCATGGGCGGGATCAGGCCCTCCGCACACAATGGCATTAGAAAAAGTTTGATCTCGTCCAACTCTTGCCATTTGTCTGCAGAGCAGGCCTGAGCGGCATGCTAATGAGCGTAACCTTTCCTGGGCCTTTGCTCCCTGTCCAAGGCCCGCTTTGTGCCGCGCGCTCGCGGGGGCTGCTTGGCATTTGGGCTGGAATCCGGGTAGGCTGCATTTGTAAACAACAAACTTCATTGACATTAGACGGCTGGGAGTGTTTGGTTTCCTGCTG